ATTTTTCTCAGGGAAGACCTTTTTTTCTCCCCTTCCCCCAAAAAACCCAAGAGGCTTCCTCTTAATATCATTGCCCACTCATAGATGAGCACTGATTTATTCTGATTTATCCTCTAGTACATTGTCAAAGTATGACTCTTCGTAAACAGATTTTTTACCTTGGCTGTTGGGAAAAGCAACTAGTCTCAACCTTGTGTGAATTTTGGATAATGTTTCTTTCAATCTTTTCAGTAGTTCTTCTCCTTGAAAGATATTTAAAGATGTTACACTGAGCAGAACTCAGTTGGAGACACTTTACAGGTCTCTGAAGCTCTCTTGTTTGCAATTCTCCCTTCCAAGGTATTCTGCCCTCCAAAATCTAGCCTCCTTGGCCCCCCTGGACTTTATCTCCTTGCTGGACAGGCGATGGCATTTCTAAGCCACCATAGAAACCCTGCTTACCCCTGCAAACAGTACATGTTGTTATGTATAAGGATACAGATCCCGTGAGAGAGTTGGTTTGGATAGTCTTTTTAATTCCTTACTGATCTACTATTTTATGATTTCGTTTTGTTGGTAACTATATCAGGATTGTAAGCACACAGTTATATACTCCTGAATAATAAATGATATATGTAAATATGACATTTGTACAATGTAAATATAAAATATTTATAAAAACTGACTGTTCTAACCAAAATGCAAATGTAGTAAAAATTAATAAGACTATCAATATTTCATAAAAAGCTCATGGATTAACAAGGTAATTTAAACTAGTTTTTCTGTACTGATAAATGAATAGCAGTCAGAATACTACGTATTAAAGCCCATGGGAGGGGACCAAGTCTGTAGTACACAGAAAATTGAGAGTTGAAAATACATTTATTATTAAAAAGAAATAGTAAATGTAATTTAAAAAGTAAAAATAAGAACTTCAAAATAAAACTAAAGAATACAAAAATAATCTAATAAGAATAAAGGCAGAGAATACAGTAATAAATTAGAAAACAAACATAAAAAACAACAAAATATAAATACAAAATGGTAAAGGAAAATAATAAAATAGACAAATTTGGTGAATCAAATTAAGTATGGAAATATACTATTATAAGATTCTTATATGTGAAGTTGTATATTATCACCTGAAGTATACTGTGATAATTTAAAGATGTATATTGTAACATATAAGATAACTGGTAAAGCAAAACAACAAAATTTGGGCTAAAAAGCTAACGAAGTTAAATAAAATCATAAAATTAGTTAATTAACATTCATTTAATCCAGAAGATGGCAAAAAAGAGAAAAAGGAAACAAAAAATGATGGGGCAAATTGAAAGCAATGACAAGGCAATAGACCTCAATCTAAAAATACCAATAGTAACAATAAATATAAAATGTCTTGGCACCCTAAACAAAAGCAAAGATTGTCCAGATGTGTTTTTTTTTTTTAGAAGCTAGACCAAACCATTAACAAGAACACCACCTTAAATATTTTTGAATATTTAAAGATTTAGTATTTAAACCATTCAAATATTTTTACCACTAGATAATGAGAAAAAAATGGAAGAAGATATATCATGCAAAAGCATAAGAGAGCTGAAGTGGCTATAATATGAGAAAACTCAAGTAGGTTTCAGGGCAAGGGAGATGACAGGGATAAAAGAGACATTTAATAATGATTAAAGGGTAATTTCATCAGGAAGCATAACAGTTCTAGATGTGTATGTCACCAGTTACAGAGTAGCAAAATATATGAAGCAAAACCTAACAAAATTCAAAAGAGAAATAAATTCAGTTACAATTAGAGATTTCAACACCCCTCTCTCACTAATCAATTGACAAAATAGAAAGAACATCAGAAAGGAGATGGAGTACTTACAGGTTACTAATAACTGACTTGCCCTGATTGATATATAGAGAACCCTTCACCTAACCAGCGGATTATACTTTTCTTTTCATGTACATGTGGAACATTCACCAAGAGAGACTCTTTACTGGGTCATAAGAAAGTCTGAATAATGAAATCATATGGTGTATGTTAGCTGGTCACAATGGAATTAAACTAGAAGTTAATAAAAATAAGATATCAGGAATATGCCCAAGTATTTGAGAAACTAGCAATAGCATCTATTCACCCATAGATGAAGGAAGAAATTATGTGGAAAATTGAAAACTACTGTAAACAAATACTTACGCAAACACAGTTTCTCAAAATTTGTGGAAAGCAGCTAGAAGAGTAATTGACAGAATATTAGAAGTTATAAATATTCTGTTAGAAAAATTAAGTTATAAAGTGATTTAAAACTCTCACCTTAAGAAATTATAAAAAGAACAGTTTAAATACAAATTAAATAGGAGAGAGATAAAAACCACAAAACGTTGAAGCAGAAAACTGAAAGACAATAAAAAAAAATCAATGAAACAAAAAGTGGTTCTTTGCAAAGATTAGTAAAACTGTTTTCTCGCTAGACAGGTTGGGATAATAAAAGAGAAAATGAAAATGACCCAGATTGTAAATGGAAAAAACAGGGATATCACAACAGAATATTTAAATGATCATAAGGAAACATCATGCATGAACAATGTTATGTCAATAAGTTTGATACTTACATAAAATGAATACTTTCCTTGAAAGGCACATATTACTAAAAACTTAAACAGAAAATATGAATATCTTTATACTTATTAAAGAAATAACATTTAAAATAAAAAGCTTTCCCACGAAGAAAATGCCAGGCCCAGGTAGCTTCACTGGTGAATTCCATTTATGCCCTCCCCTAACTTGCCAAGATTTAAGCCCCAACCTGGAGGGTGATGTGAGATCCTTCAGCAACTGTTCAAAGCTGGATGGAGGAGAGTTTAGGTCTTTCTTCATAGTAAGTTCTTCATTATAAAACATCAACAAGAAGAAACAACCTCATGTTATTCATATTTTTTTCCTTCACACCATAATTTTAATGTGCTGTTATGCTAACAGTCTCTGTTACTTTTCTTCCTCATATCAATGCTCCTCTCATGACAGGAGTACAGTACTTGGAAAGAAGAGAACATGTGTTGGCCGATGGCATAAAATCCATTTCACTTACTTGCTTATTTTGCCCCTTTCCTCCTTTAGAACACATGCAAATGAGAAAGGGACCTGAGCAACCTCCAGTCTCAAAGGGAGAGATCAGGAGAATAATAGGAAGGTACAGACTTCACTAGGAATAGAACACATGATTTTCAGACATAGGATCATTCAATAGGAAAAACATAAAATACAAGGATATATTGGTATAGAGAGACATTAAAGTCAATAGTGGTTAGATTCACAGGCTCTGAAACCAAAGGACATAGATTTTAATATCAAACACTCATATTTACTGGCTTTGATCTGCTGCAAGTTACATAATTTCTAAGTGCCTCACTTTTCTTATCTATAAAATAATGAAAATGATAATACATTCTTCATAGGGTGTGGTAAGGATTAAATGAATTGATGTTAAGTCCCTAGAAACATACATGATTCATAATAGATGCTCAGCAAATGCTAGCTAGTTATTACTACTCTGTTGTGCCAGAGGAGAGGTAAAACAATTCATATCTCATGACCTTAATCTCAATAGCAGGAATTGCAGCTTCTGATCAAGGCTATCAGGGCAGAGAGTCCAGCTTAAAGAGACTGGAGAAACATCAGCTACATATTGATGATTCACTGGGGTATTGGTCCTGAACCCTGGATATACCATTAAAATTTCTGGAAGCCCTTTTAAAAATACTGATATTTTGGCTCCAACCCAGAACTATTACATAGGGGTGGCCTCGGGGTGAGACCTAGATAGGTCTTTGGAAAAAAAACAAAACAAAACTCCTTAGGTGAACTTTAAGAACAGCCAGAGTTGACAATCAAGAATAGGAAAAGAATAAATAAGAATTCATAAGGACAGAGAGATGACATTTATGGTTATCCCACTTTGCTTTAGTTCCTCTACCAATCCAACTATTCTGACTGGAAGATCCAGGTTCCAGTATGGTCAGGTTCTAGTGAGACCGCTCTTCTAGGTTGCAGAATGTTGCTTTCTTATTGTATCCTCACATCGGGGAAGGACCAGCTAGCTCCCTGGAGTCTCTTTTATAAAGGCATTAATCCCATTTAAAAAGGCTCTGCCCTCATCACCTCTCAAGGACTCCACCTCCTAATACCATTACATTGGGCATTAAGTTTCAACATATGAATCTTAAGAAGACCCAAATATTCAGTCTGTAGCATATACATTATCAAGTGGTAGTGAATGTTACTGAGATTGGGGAGAATACAGGTCTCAATTTCTTGTCGGGTAAAAAAAAAAAAAAAAAAAAAAAAAGGCAGACCCAGAGTAAGGTAATGTACTCTGCAAGCAGAAATAGACAAAGGATGTGAAGTAGGAGTAATCATAAGGACACAGAGCAGTTTCTACGGGCGGGGGTGGGGGGTGGGTAGATGTTTTGGTTATTAGAGAATAGCAGGCAGGACAAATTTCAGAGGTTGAGATCTTTTTCCTTGGAGATGGTGTGATATCAATGAAAACTAGTTTTAAGATGAACCCTCAAAACTGGGAACTGAGAAAATAAAGCAATAAAGATGAAGGTTATTGGAGGAGGCAAATAAAGTGTAAAGTCCTGGAAAGTCCTTCTTGCTTTCCCCTTACTACCTTCCATTTTGCGGAAAGAAAGAGGAAGGAAGGAGGGAGGGAGGGAGGAAGGAAGGAAGGAAGGGAGGTAGGGAGGAAGGAAAAAAGGCATGGGGGACACAACAAGGTAAAACAAAACAAAAACTCTTTTCCCTCCCACCCGCAGCCAGCAGAGAGCGCTGGTGCCACAAGCGACACAACCGCGGAGCCGCTTAGCCTTCTCCTGGTTCTAACCTCCAAGAGCGAGGTACATTGAGGTTGTCCCTGTTGGGAGCCCGTAGTTGACTTGCTGTCGCTGAGCAACAGGAGAGTGGGCGGGATTTGCCATTCGCGTCCGTGCGCGCGACCTACCAGACGGAAGCGGAAGTGTCGGTGGCGCGCGAGTAGGAAGTGGTGATTCCTGGAATAGAGATGGCCGCGCTTGCTCCGCTGCCCCCACTACCCCCCCAGTTTAAGAGCATACAGCATCATCTGAGGACGGCTCAGGAACATGACAAGCGGGACCCTGTGGTGGCTTATTACTGTGAGTCTTTCCGAGTCGCCGTGCCCTTCTTTACCCTCCAGGGTCCACACACCACCCCTTGGTTTTTAAGGCAGGCCCCGCCCCTTCAGCTTTAGACCTGAGCTTTGACCCCTGGCTTGCCAAGGGAACCCAGTGGAGCCCCGCCCTTTTCAGGGTTTACCCCACCTCACCTGCTCTCCGCCCCCTCGCAGGCCCCGGAGAGGTGAAACTTAAAATGCACCGTTGGTGTTCGCCGCTTCTCTAGTATTGTGCTTAAATACTCCTCAACTGGCTACATGGGCTCGTGAGCTAACACGTTGTCTGGAGGTTTTCTGTGTGTACTCAAGAGAGTCTCCTGTCTCAAAAATAACCTGGATGGTTAAGTAATTGTGTTGAGGCTAAAACGAAGGTGGGTGTCCCAAAGACAGTAATGATGTGTACAGAAGGAAGGTAGACTAATTGAAAACATAGTAATAAGTGCAGGTTAAGTAGGACAACACGCAGGCTCATTAAAAAACTCATAAATGGTGAAATGGAGAGTAGTTGCTACAAAACTAGCACTTGAGTTTGACCATTTGCCCACCAATGAGAATTTTTTGTCTTGACTTCTTTGAATAATACTTGGGTTTGAGACATTTGATAGTAATACTATGACTTTGGTTGGTTATGAAAAATACAATCTACAGTTGGAGAACCGATTAGGTGGTTCAAACTCTTTCCTTTGCAGTAAGTCCGGTAGTTTTATGTAAACTTTGACTGCAAGAGGAACGAGTGACCAAGCAACTGTGATCTTCTGATCTTCTGTAAAGGATTTTTATCATTGAAAAGCTCAAGATAATGTGTCCTGTGCTGTGAACATTGTAAGGTTTGCTAAAATCTGGTCCGTTGTCTTCCCTGTCATACCCCGGTACCCCGTTTTCATTCCTCAAGCGTACAAGGCCCTTTTCTTAAAAAAAAAAAAAAAAAAAAAAAAAAAACCACCCGAGTGTACAAGGCCCTTTGAAACCTCCGTGTTCTTCAGTACCTTGGAATGTCCGGCTGGTTTTTGTTTTTTTTGTTTTGTTTCTTTTCACTTGGCAAACTCCTCATGATTCAAGATCTAACTCAAATGTAATCTCTTCTGGAGGCAGTAAATTGATTATTCTCTAGGCTCTACTTCATTTTGTTCAAATCAGGCGGTATTGGTTCCATTGTATTTGTTCTTCCAGTTCCTCAAGTAGGGACTGTTAATCGTTTATTCGCCTTTTATTTACTGAGTTTTCTTCCTGTGTATCAGACATTACCAGGCACTGTGGCTACGCTTTCCGCATCCTTGGGCCTGGGACACAAGTGGGGGAGAGGGGATTAAACAACAAAATGGGAATATTTTATGGAATATTAGATTTTGAAGAAAAATAAAGCAGGGAAAAAGAGTAGGGAGGACTAGGATTAGGGTGGGGGGTGAGAAGGGCATTTCACCGGTACTTGTGGAATGCTTCACCGAGTTCACGCCTGAGCAAAGACTTGAGTGAAAGGCAGGCTTTGCATCATTGGAAAAGAGTATTCTCAGTAGAGGGAATAACACGCAAAAGTCACGAGGCAGGGGCTTGCTTGAAGGAGGATCGAGGAGCCCATTGTGACTGAAGCGGATGGAGGGAGGAGAAAAGTGATAATGTCCGAGAGGTCATTTCCCACAACAGTGAAGTGGGAACCCTTATTCCTGTCTAAAACTAACCGCTGTTCATGAGCTCTGTGTTATATACCTTTGTGATAGCCAGGGGCTTTGATTTTCTGTGTCATCATCTTCTCCCTTTTGCTATTTCTCTCGAAATTTGCCCCCGTTTCCTTTATTTAAAAAATAAAATAAAATTTTAAAAAAAGCTCTCGCTGTGACATTCTCCTAAAGTTACATAGTTCTGTCTGCCTAACCTCAAAGTTAAGCTTAAAATAGTTGTCTGTGTTGTCTTTACTTTCCTATCTCATAGAGCCTTTTCAGCTCATTGCAGCCTACTTTTCATGCCTTTTATTTCACTGAAACTGCTCTCCGCAGGGCCATAGACAGACGTTTTCATTGCCAAATCCAAGTGGTACTTACAAAATATTTTTTGTTATAAAACATGCATATTAAAGAACACATACAATGTGTATACAGTTTAAGGAATAATAAAATGAACACCAAGGTACCCACTGTATTTGAGGTTGTTAGACTTTTTAATTTTTGTCAATCTGGTGAGCCATGAAATTCAAGCTAAATTTGCAATTCACTGAGTCTTAATGAGGTTGAGCATCTTTTCATATGTTAATTACCCTTTGTGATTCCCCTTTGAAATACCTATTTATTGCTTTTGTCCATTTTTTTATTTCAGTGTTTGTCTTTTCTTAAATGTAGATATTACTCTTTTGTTCCATGCACTGCAAATGTCTTCTCCAAGTTCATAGTTTGATTTTTCACTCTATTTATGAAGTCCTTTGATGTTCAAAAGTTCTTAATTTTAAAGTATAGCTAATTTATCACTCTTATAATTTATATTCTGATTTTCTAGGACTTGATTTCTTTTCGTCTACCTTCTTTGGGACTTTGGCTTCCTGGATTTACAGATGGGTGTCTCATAAATTCTGGAGAATTCTCTACTATTATCTGTTCAAGTATTCTCTACTGAAATTTTGATTAGACGTGTTGCACTTTTCTCCTTTATTTGTCTCAGTATTTTCATAGTTTGCATCCCTTTGTCTCTCTGTGCTACGTTCTATGTAATTTCTTTAGGTCTGTGGTCACCTCCATATATCCTATTGTATCACCCATTTATTGAGCTTCTGTTTTCATTTTTGGATGTTCTCTTTTTTTTTGTTTTTTTTTTTTGTTTTTAAATCAGCCTGGCCATTTCTGATAGTCTTTTGTTACTATATTTTTTAAATACTCGTATTTCTTTAAATGCTTTAAAAATACTTATTTATATTTGCAGTCTCATAATTCCTGTAGCTGCCATATATATGGGTCTGATTTCTGTTGTGTAACAAAAGACTGCTCTTGGTGACTTATTGTGATTTGTGCTCTACACATACCAGCCAGTGTTCTTCAAACTTCAGTATGCAGGAAATTCTACAGGAATCATCTCCCCAATTCTCAGCTTGTTTGCTTCTCTGACAAAGCTCCTTTGATCGGGGTAGCATAGTAGTATGCTGCTTCTCTTTTCCCACATCCTGTTCAAGTTACTCTTCTACTTTAAAGAGGAAAGGCAAGCTCTCATGTATCATGAGTATTTTTATGGTGTGTTGCCCCGGGAAGGAAGGTGGAAAACCTTCCAGGGTGTCCAGAAAAAAGGGACAATTCAAATTACTGGTGTAGTGAAGTCTCTGTTAATTAAGGTATTCAGGAGAGCATCCTGTCCTTCCCTGTTTTATATGGAAGAAGATCAGGGCAAAGAATAAGCCTTTATTTGAAAATGCAGAGCATAAGAAAGGGTGTCAAGAGCAACATCTTAATTTGGGGAATGAAGACAGAACATTTTATAAGGGGGAAGAGGAGGAATTATCCTTAGATATTAGTAGCCATTGTTTGACCATTTGGGATTTTATCCGGAGGGGCAGAGAGGAACAGTTTGGGACCAGAGTCATGTATGAGAGAGTGTGAAAAGATTTAGCTGTGGGGTCGAGGACAGGGAAGGACCACAGTGGAAAAGTCTCTTTCATAAGTCGCTTACACTTTTAAGTATATCTGTTAAGGGTAAAGCCTCATGTTAAAACCAGGCCTGTGTTTCAGTGTTCTGAATTCCCAGAATGTAAGAGTTTTCATGAAATGACCTAACCTTTTCATTTTCTATTCATTATTTTAAAGAATATCATTCCTGATATAAGAGCCAAACACCAAAAGAGAAATGCTGAAGTGGGTAGTCCCTTGTTTCATCCGATGAATGATGAATTTCATTCGGATGAAACAAGGGACTTAAGGATCTGTGGCTTACTGAAATTTTGGAATTAGAATTCAGATGAGATGAGGCGAATGCAGATGTGGCTTAACATATTTATTCTAATTGGAAAATTATGTCATAATTTTTGAGAAAGTAAGCCTCCACTGGCTGGCTGGTTTGGCATTAACAACAGGTTTTACCGTTAATGTTATATGGCAGACATTCTCAAACTAAATGAGCCTAATCCTCAGCTCTGAGGTATTTTGTTTTTTTCAGAAATACATTAAAAACAAGTGATAAGAGAAAAACATTTAAATTGGTTTTGAGTTTTTTTTGTTGTTGTTGTTTTCTTTGCCAAAGAATGTTGAATAGTGTTTCAGTTTTCCCAATCCTGTCGGTGTCTTTAGAATAATCCTATCTCAATGTCATGAAAGAAAATGATAAATCTTTGTAAGATTTTTTTGTATGCTTCACAGAATTGAGAAAATGAATAACTCTAATGATGGGGTGACAAATCCTTTTCAAGTTTTAAAACAAATTTTAACCTGACCTATATGAAATGTCAGCTAAGAGATAGTATTTGATGATAGGTGATTATATGATTTTTAGCCTATAACCCAGAAGGAAAGGAATTAAAAGAATTCAGTGATTTTGCTGTGATAAAACTTCCATTCTTACCTGCTGCTTTATATGAATGAGTTTTCTCTCATGTTAAATTTGTAAAAATGAAAGTGGGAACAGAACCAATTCCGGTTCTGTATGACAATAAATCATATTGATTCCTAGATACACAGTTTAGCTGTGTATAAGATGCGTTTCCAATAAATTTTACCTTTTCTTTTTAATGATTGAAATGTGTAGCATTGATACTGTTTTGATCAATTATGCATTACAATAATCACATAATTTTAACACTTAGAGGAAATCCAGAGGAAAAATTTTAACACTTAGCATCTTATCTCACAGGAAATTTTGATAAGTTCAAACTTCAATTTTTATACATTTTTTGTTGCAGAGAATTACGATAATCAAGTTAGGACTGTTGAGCATACAAATACATTCTTTTATAATAAAATTCTATAGGATAAGTAAATGGAAGTATAGGTTAAAAAGTTACAAAATGTATTATTTCTG